TTTTTTTTTTTGCAATACAAATATCTCTGCATCCTTAGATGCAAAATGAGGAAATAAAGTCTTGTTTTCTGAGAGGCTGAACAAAATTGCCTAAAAAAAAGAACAAATCTGTCAATGTGGTATGAAAACTTCTTCATTATGACCAATTTCTCAAAGAAATTTTTTGTAGTAATTTAAATGTATCTTGACATTTGCACTGAAAAACAAGACAAAAGTACTGAAGAACAACATGATTTAGCTTTACAGTGTGATCAGAAGAAACAGTAAACGTTATTTCCATTTTCTTGGTTTTAAAAAGGTGTTTAAAAAGTCTTAAATGTACCTTCATAAAACCTGTTGAAACCCTGATATGTGTGTATACATATATAGTTGTTTTACTATTTTTATATTATGTTTTAATTAATTTTATTATATTACCATTATTTATTATATTTGATTTTTTATTGTAAGTTCTGTTAACACATCCACTTGTCTCTGTATTAAAATCATGTAGGCAACATGGCTGGGACTGATCCCGGGTGGGCGGGGCAAGCCACCAGCAGCACCAAGTCGAGGCAGAGGGAGGGGCCGAGGGCGGAGCCTGAGGGGGCGTGGAGGAGGCAATCACATGGTAGTAGACCACCGGCCTCGAGCCCTCAATATTATTGGCTTCACACAGGAAGAGAAGGAGGAGCTCATGCCTCATTTTGTGGTAAGACTTGAGTTTAAAAAGTGCGTCATTTGTATATATTTGTATATCACCAAATTTATGATCAACCCATATGACTTGTATAGAAATTTGGCGAGATCGAGGAGCTTCGTGACCATGATGCTACCAGTGTTGTGATGACCTTCAAAACCCGTAGTGAAGCGGAAAACGTAGTTGCTTTTTTTTTTACATTTTTTTTATTTAAGCTTTAGTTTATGGTATTTGTTACATTTATCGCCACTAAATCATAATTTTTTTCAGGCTGCAAACCAAGGGGCGAAGTTCAAAGGTCGAATTCTACAGATCTCATGGTACAAACCTAAAACTCCATCCGTGTCCACTGAACCAGAAGAGGAGGAGTCAAAGGAAGAGGTCAACGCCGCAGGAATTCGTGTAATGACGGTAATTACACCGCCAGATTACACATTTAAAAATATTATATCATTATATGTAATTCGCAGTGTTTGCTAAGTCAAACAAAGATGTGCATGTATTCAAGGTGTAAGTAAAATGTTATTACTTTTTACTTCATACCATTTAAAGGGGTCCTATTAATGCTTTTT